AGAGCAAATACTGTGTGAGCACGGTCTTTATTTTGGACTGAGAACAAAACAAGACCAGAAGCAATATCTCCATGAGAGAGAGGGGAGTCTTTCTCCTGTAGCTGTCTTCATTGAACTCTGCTTCTTAAAATGGCTGCCTGCAGCTATAAGCCATCCGTTCCTACAGCCTGAAAGGTACAGTACATGGGGAAAATAAGCCATAATAAATACAAACCTCATAACAGCACACTCCTCCTGTCCCTCTCTCATGCTGACCACTCACTACCTGTCGAAGGGCTTGCCTTGCCTCCTCTGTTTCTGAGGAGAAAGTGTACACAAGAATTTTCAATTATTAAAACCTTTCATGCTAGATAATGTCTTAACATGAGGTTGGGTTTGAGCCTGCCTCTCTCCCTCTGGAGGCTGGACATGTATTACTGACCGCATCAGTGAACAAACAGCATGAAGAGTGGAGAAGCAGATTCACATGCGGCGAAAAAATAAGTTCCCTTTTATGTGGCACAGGAAACTTTCCAGGGCTCCAAAATGCACGTGATGACACACAGATAAAAATCTTCCCTTTTATACAGTCATGAAAGGGGTTTTGTTTTTCTTCCCCCATGTTAATACAGCTGCCAGGGGATAAACACTCAGTGTGACAGAAATTAGATCCTCTTACAAGTACAGTCTCAGCCTTTGGGGATGTTATGAACACCTCTGGTTATAAAATTCCCCTTTCACCAACATGCAGTGACTAGAGAGAGAAAGTGGGTTAGAAATGAGTGAAAAGTAGATCAAAGACAATTAGGTTCTGAAGACTTTCTGCATTTCCTCTCCCCTCCCCTCCCAGCCCAAGCTCTAAGTGCTTTGAGTACTCCTTGCCCCCTCTCACCTAGAAATCCCAGAGCACTGCCCTGCTTTGCCCCCCACAAGTACACAGTGGTTGGGGAGTCCGGTGTTTGGTCTTTACAGGGAATGAAAGCTGCATTTTAATTCTACTTATCTCTAGCTAAAAGGCCTATTGAGACTATTGAGACAGATACAATGTATTGTCAACAGCGTTGCTGCCTTTTCACATTTCCTTTTCCACAACTCACTCTCTTGCTGATTATAATTACCCTTTAATAGCTCATATAATTTCAGCTATATAACAACTGAGTTGTACTGTAGCTACCAAAAGTATCATGTATTTTTAATCATTAATTGAGGCTAAATAATTCCACAACATCTCTGAGTATGATAATTAGGTAACATTGGATACATCTCACGAGTGAACTTTCTTCAGTATACTGTGTGCTGGTATAAGTGTAATGCACCATTTTTCTCTCCAAGAACCATTTGCATCTGATGCTGCTGATCAGAGCTAGAGTGACAGTCTCAGTGAAAACAAGTGGAATACAATGACTATGAGAGGATTCAAAGTCTGGATGTATAGAAATTTGGAATATTGGTGAGGGCCCCTATTCTAGCTATCTGTAAGTGAAATAATCTCAGCACAAGTCCACTAACACATACCAACTGTCTCTAAGGTGGGATAACATGATTTCAAAGTCTGCTCTAACAAATGTCATGGAGACATCCAGCCATATGAATATGACCCACAGCCAAGAAGATACTACCCATTGATGTCCGTGCCAATTCCATTCCATGCCCCGATTGGATGCCTAATTGGAAGGAGTAAAGGATGGCAGTATCAAGATGGAGGTAACCCTTGTGAAAGTTCACTTAGCTTACTTAGTTTTGGGAAATTTAGATGCTGAGCCATATTTGGGGAGGTTGCTTGAATCAGGTGATGGTTTCTAAATAACAACAAGCTTGGATAGATCATAGATTTCTTAAAGAAGGTGTTGAAAATCTCATTTGTAGGCATCTCAGATACTCTGGACTCTTTCTCTAGTCATGAAAGGAATGGTTCAGAGCTGCAGGAGGTGGCTTGGCTTTCCTGCAGTGTTTCTAGGACCTCTTGTTATGTGAAGGGGCTGAATTCAGAATGAGGAGGTATTTGAAATACTGGGCCTTGAATGCAAGTGATTTTCTCTGAGAAGCAGGTTGACAATAGTGTTTCACTGTGAGAGGTGCTGGTTTATGGAGTTGAGTGGAAGCATTCTGGGCTAAAAAGACCATTCACAGCCCGAATAGTTCAGTGGGACATTATTTAGCAGATGCTATGGTTGGACAGAGGTGGATCATTTTGCTTTTTCCACAGGCAGAAAGAAAGAATTCCCTGTGCAGGAATTTGTTGATATCTGCCCATGTTTTCTGCCATTAACACTTAAGTTTTCTTATCTAGTCCTAGGCCACCAGAGAACTATGGATATCTATAGGGGTGATGGGAAGAGAATGGAATTTTGGTGCCTGAATGTCAATGACCTTTCCTGCTTGCACCTCCCTCTCACCTCTACTAGATCTGTTCCTATCAGATTCCCTTTACCTAAGGATGCCCTCTTGAAGGGGAGGCCTGCTGACCTGCTATCCTAACATTTCCGACTAAGTGGATTCACTGCCTTTCTGGTATTTTTCCTAAGTGGCCACTAGTCTCCTTCTATCTGTCTTTGTCTCTCTCTGTCTCCAGTGGACACTGCAGGCCCCCTTTTCCCATATCAGTCTGAGGGTGGCCAGAAATACTACTGACTTTGTTACTTCAGAGGTCCCAGTCAGGAAATGGAAGTAAAAAGTAAACCTTAGCCAGACATTTCAGTCTCTCTCTAAAAGCTCGTGTTGAGTTTGCCTCCATAGGTGGGCAAAAGTTTGAGGTGGAGTTCTATCTGAAACAAAACAATCCCCAATGTAAGATGGGGGGAGGGAACACAGATCCTCAGTTAATTTGGACAAGGTTTTGATAATGATTTGCCCCTGACTGCTAAAAAGAGACGTTACAGCAGGGAACAATGTGAATTTATCAGATACTGAAGCCAGATGTGGACTCATGTAGTGATGAACACATATATAGTACAAAACCAAGGTCTCTTCTGCATCTGATGTTATGCAGCCAAAAAAGAGCTTTTTGTGAAATTGTTAAGGTTGACACCTGACACAAAAGCAGGGAAATAAAAAGTTATTTTTAGTTACATTAACACCAAGCGGTACATCTCCTCTACTCTTTCATAATTCCTACCATTGACCAACAAGTTGGCTTTCCATGAGCCCTCAATAAGCTGCATGTCTCCTGCAACCAGATCTCAGGGAGGAATAAGATCAGCTGAGAAACAATCTACAATAGTCAACACACACCTGTGTTTAATCTGTCTTCAGTTGCACCACTTCTGTTGCACTTAGTTATCACCATCAGCATGAACAGTGAGTTACCCTGATGCTAATGATCATGCTGAAGCACTGATGCCGACTTCCTCATATAAATGCTTAATTGTTGCTAGTGATTCCCATGGTAGCATTAGCCAGTTTAACATTACATAGCATGAGAAAATTAAATGACCAGTGTCAGGCTAGGAGTGTTCATTGTTCTTTCTTTGTTTTTGTAAATGCTAGTGTGATGTGAGAATAATTGCTATGCTGGGTTTATTGCCTTTGCCATTGCCCTGTGTGTGTGTGTGATTTAAATTGTCTATAATAGTGTTGTCTTGGAAGGGAAGGGACAGGAAGTAGGAGGAAATGGAGATTGATCTGAGATTAAAGTGGGTGTTTACTTTGATCACTTACAGGGTCCATTTGTAAGAGCAGAGTCCCAAAGCAAATGTCATCCAGGCTGGATTTGCTTTAAAGGGACCCTGTCAATTTAAAAATCACACTTCTCGCTGGGTCTTTTACCTCATGTTGCTACAGAAAACACCTAAGTCTATTATAGTCTTGTATTACCTTTGTAACACATACAATTATTATAGCTAAAAGACTAGAGAAACATATTTCTGTATTTTTTTCCAAATTTGTTTAATTAGTGCAATTGACAGCACTCTGCCTCTAGAATGTAGATGAGACTGAAAAACTGCAAAGAACACTGTGTAACATTTTGCCAAAATTTGTCATCCCCTTTCATTGAAATTTCAAACAGTGGACCAGTTTTTCGTCAGTTTCAATGTTTTTCTCTATATGGTCAGTTAGTAAGTAAACTTTCCTGTTGTCTGTGTGTCTCTTTCAGACAGCAAGAAGGGCAAGTAAAACATAAATACATTTGAACATGTGATTTTTTTTTTTTAAAATCAGTACAATACACACAGTGCTTGCTTGAACGGCATATTATCCTAGGTCTTGATCCTGCAAAGAGCTCTGTGTGGGAACCAGTATCTGCCTATGCAGAGTTCATTACAAAATTGGGCCTGATTTCAGGCATGATTTGATGAAAGGGGAACAAAACACAAGGCAGGAAGGCATAAATGAATATTACCAATAGAAATATTGCATTGTATGGAAATGCTTCTGCTCTTTACCCTTCATGGGAGGTGGCAGCTCATAGACCTTTGACAGGGACTAGGTACATGCTGGGTGCAGGAGTTTCTAACTTTCAGCCACACACAGACGAGGCAGCCCTGAATGAACGAATACCTGCAGCTTTAAGAAACTACTGAAAGTGTGGCTGATAAAGAGATCTATTTGACTGTGACAACTGCGAGTCACTGTCAGTATTAGACATCCCAAGAGAAAGGGGGAGACAAACGTGGTTGTTCACAGCCTTTGTTTGGCAGCTTTCAGAGATTTGAAGGAGCTGAACAAAATGACGCAGTGCTACATGCCAACTGTTGGGCTTTATCAAATAATAAAGCAATCCCACTGGGTATTAAGAGGCATGGAATTATTCTAATGAGTTTGGCAAAATCTCATTAGGATGAACAGCAGGCAATTACAAAGTGTATGATCAGTATGCAAATGACTTTCTTTCCTCTCTCTGACTACACACAATTTCTTGGGCTTGCAGAATAGGAGCTGTCAGAGAAATGATTACTCACTGGAGCAGAGTATTGTGTACAGTGGGGTCAGTATTTCAGATGCACCAATGGTAGAGATGGGTAAGGTCTGGAAATATATTCCATCCTCAGCGCAAGAACCCCTCTGCATCACTAAATTCTTACCTTATGAAGAGGTGGGCAGCAGATATCTTTCTGTTAGGCCTCCAGAGGTAGTGCTTCCAGGAATACCTTCAGAGTGTGACCAGGTCAGTGGCGCGTGCTGTTACAACCCAGAGTAGCTTCTCTGCAGCTGTGGGAAGTGGGGACAAGATTTGGGGGCTGCAGTGAATGACGCTAAAAATGACAGCTCCCATTGGTGGAGAGGTAAATTAGGTGGACAAAGTTGCTTGTATGCCTCTAAGTCTGAACTCTCTACTCTGGGTTCAGAAATGCTCTTCTAATTAAATAGAAAATGTCAGGTATGCACACTAAAGTTTTGCTGTGCATGGTAAATGACTCCTTTGTCCCATTTGGCTGTCTTATGTCAGGCAGTGTAATCCCTGATATATTCAGTTTTCCAGGTTGAGAAACTCTGTGTAGGCCTCTAAAGTGATTGTAGGAAATCAGGCTTTCATTGTATCCAGCTATAATTAATAGTTTTAAGTCATATTTTATTTCTTACCCAAGGTCTGATTTTGCTCCTTATATAAGTCAGTGGCAAAACTTTTTGCACAGTGGACAGGAAATTCCACAAGGGACTCATTTTTCTGTTGGAGTGTGGCAGGGAAGTGGGATGGGGAGGAGAGAAGAGAATTGAAGAGCTTTCAGATTAGATGAATCGACACGGACAGATATTCCAGTCAGTCTTCTCTCCAATGTGTGGAAACCAAACACATTCACTGCACTGTCCACATGTGGCTCTGGTTTGCTCCCAAGTAAGTAGCAGGAAGTTTTCTCCTGTCCCTCCCCTTCTCCCCCATGTAGAATGTGGGACTCTGGAAGGCAAAGCACCATAAGTGTAGAAGTCGTGTGCTTCCACTGTGCCTTTTGGCTCCTGCAGGAGTCCTTTTGCCAAGGACTCTCCATCATGGAGGGGAAAGTTGGGTAAATTAATGGTGATAGTTAGGCATTTACTTCCACTCTAAAGGGCCATGGAGTTGGGAAGAAAATGATGCCTTAAAGAGCAACCATTCCTTGGCCCAGACTCCTCCTAGCTCACCCTTTCCAACAGCATAAAGCCCAATCTGGAAGGGGAGAAATGATTCCATGGAGGAGACAGTGTCCTTCGATTGACCCTCTCCTTGGAAGACTCAATCTGTTTAACTTGAGGGGTCAATGTGATCCATAGATATTAAGGTGGATGTCCTCCATTGCTAGAATTAAGTTGTGATGGAGCTCTAGCCAAAGTACTTTCCAGTGACAGAACTTGAAAGAGATTATCGGGTCAGTACTCCGTCAAGTGGGCCAGGCTGTCTCCCCAAAAGGTTAGTGAACGGATATTTTTAGGTTTAGTACATAAGGAGTTTTTAAAGCTGTTTATATAGTTTAGTAATCATTTTATATTAAATAATTGTATTAAATCTGACCTCTATAATCTAAGCACTGCCAAAATGATTGTGGTCCAAACATTACATTAAATATTAAAATGCAGAATGGGCTCCGTTTGCACTGCAGAGGAGTTCACTCCCAAGATTGGATTACACATCTCGATGTTGGGTGTTCCAAACCAAACCGACAGCTGTACAACGATGCCATAGGCTTCTGTTTCTGTTTAGCCTGTTTTGCTGACCGATGAAAAGAGATGGAAATTCCAAACCTGAAATACAGGGCTTGGACAAATATATTTTTTTCCTCATACAGTCTATCTATGTACACTACTGGCTGGTCATAAAATGTATAGCTTTACTTAATGAAGGTCTTCTATTCATTATGAAGTTCTTCTGTACCATGGTCAGCTTTTACAGTAGTGACCAAACCAAGCTGGAGAGAGTACTGTCATTATTCTCTATTTAGAACAGAGATAGCAGGGAACCTGAGGTGTTACCCTGAAAACACAGAGCAGGGAAGCTTTATTCTCTTTGTATTTTTGTACAGACCTAATATCCAATGCTGGATCTGCAGGATTAATCCTTACTTTCTTATGGTAGCTCCATTAAAGACAATGGGAGTAGTGCATGCTCAACCCTAAAAAGTCAAACCACTTTTTTTTGGATGCCTAAATATGAATGTGCGTCTAACTTTAAGCACGAAAGTTTGATCTAAGCAATTTAGCTAAGCTCACAAGAAATCTGTGCAGATCCAGGATCCTAATGCCCACTTCCTGACTCCCTAGCCTTCTTTCTTTTGATAACTGACTAATCAAATCATTCTGACTTCACCTAGTCTATATTCGTAGGAATCCCTCAATCCCCGTGACTTCCCAATTCATCTACTGTACAAGATAGATTGTGCACCAAGGTACTGCAGCCTGTACAAAAGATGGTTGTTCAGAAGGTGATGTCTGCTTGAAGGTCGACACTGGCACTGGGAGGGCAGGTTTAGAGAGAGTCACTGATAGAAGCCAGGATGGACTTAAGCAGCATGGAAGAAATGTGGTCTTTATTGTTGGACTGTGACACTGACCAAGAATTACTCCCAGTTCTGACTAACTGTTCAGTTTGCTCCGTTTTTCCTGGGACATTGAACACATCTAACTGACAATCCTCCTCATCTCCCTCTCCTTTTTTTAAGCAGTACCAAATAGATCCTTTTAGTTTCCTGTCTTCTTTTCTTTGAATAGCAAATGTGGCCATTCAAGTGGGTAACCCTTTCTTAGCATGACTGATTTTATAGATACTGGGTCAAATTGTGCTCACCGGACCTAATTGTGCTCCTGGGATGGACAAAAAGGCCTCCCCACAAGTGGATCAGCTTTTTCCCCTTCTCCTGAGCACTAGAGAAAGCTCTTAGCAGATCCAGGGATCTATGTGGAGGAGTGGGCTGGAGGATGGGTGAACTGGGCACCCAGAGATGAGCACCTCATTACTTTTGAGTGCCTTCTTACAGATTCTTGAGAGTTCAAGGGGCTGCTGTGCCCAGAGGTGGCCCTTGGGAAAGCCACAGAAGGTCAAGAGCCCACGCATGATACTAAGTGTGTATCATGTGATACTGAGTCCTGTGCATCCACATACAGCCACAAGATTTATAGGCCAGACCTTTATGTTCTTCCATGGGTAGGGCAAAGCCCATGATCTGTTCTCCCCTCAGTGAGATAACACAAAGAAAACTTTGCTGAGGGACGGTAGTGAGGTAAGGCTCACCGGTGCGGTGCCTCCTCCTGGTCATCCAGGGAATTAGCTCACATCCCGCTCCGGAGTACCCCCCGCTGGTTGTTGTCTCACCTGCCTCAGGCCCTGTGTCCCTCCCAGGACCTTAGTGCCCTTTACCTCAGGTTTCTTCCCCAACCGTATCACCACACTCTGGGTATCTCCTTCCAGGGAAACCCCTAACTCTTTAAACCCACCTTGCCTTAGTGGCTACTGCCAGTCGTCATCTAGCCCCTGCTCACTGGGGCAGACTGCAGTCTGTAAGGGCCACTCATCATCGGCAAGGGGTTAGGCCCTGCCACCTTTGTCTATCCCCGGGCTGCACCTTTGCAACCCCTGTACCTGTTTTGGCCTTTAGCAAGGCTAGAGAGAGACTGACCCAGCTCCTCCCTGAGCCCTTATAACAGGACCAGGTGTGGCCTGATTGGGGCATGGCCCCAGCTGTGGCTGCTTCCCCAATCAGCCTAGCCTTTTCTCTCAGGAGTAGGGTACCCACTACAGGGACGCATGCAGAGTTATCTTCACCCTTCCTGGGTGTTATCGTGTTGGGGAACAATCTGACCCACTGGTACAACTGTTTTTGACTTCAGTGTAACTGAGAGCAGAATTCAGTTCATCACATAGTTAACTAACTTTTTTTTTTTTTTTAAATCTGTGCAACTAGGTTTTAACCTATGGAACTATGAACTGCAATTACGATCGTTAGCCTGCTGATTTCTATCCTTTTATAGAGGAGATAGAACACTTCCACGGAACATTGGGTGCTAACTAAACCCACATTATATTACCATACAGCTGCAATCAACAATCCAAGAAACAATAATTCCTTTATCAGTATATATTACCATAAAGAACTTAAGTAGTGCCACTATATCACAGTTGATACAGGCGTTAGAGAAGCCTTTATTCTACTAACTGCACAACAAAGTATCTCCTCTTGAAAATGTTCTTATCTTCTTGGTATCCTAAGCATGAGGTGGTGTTACTTGGAGAAAGCACTTTGATTTAATGATCGCATACTATCAGATTACCCCCCACCAGTCCTGTGTTTAGCTTTTGTCAATTTCTTAACATTTCTAAATCATCAAATGCCAGCCAGAGACACCTTTTAACATGTGATGATAATACATAGATTTGTCGAGCAGGCAAATGAAACTTTGTACCAAATGGACTGTATGAACTGCAATTAATATGGTTTGGATGTAGATCTGTAGGCAATGGTCCCTCTTTTAATCATACAATTACAGAGAAACTGATGTGCTGCAGGGTTTATGAAAGAATTATTGCTGAGCAACTATTGCAGTGGTTCAGTAAATATTGGTTGAAATGTTTCAATAAATTCACTTTGACCATGGTTGCTTTTCATGAGCATCCATGTGATCTAGTAAAAGGCTTTTCATGAGAATTCACACCAGAAACCTGGTCATAAGAGTTACATTCATTTTGTCAAGGAACAGAAACAATATCATGTGACTTACATGACTAATCACAACTAAGCAAACACCACTTGGTTTAGAGATTTCCAATGCCGGGACAGAGGAAATGATGAATTGCAAATAAACTGGAAGAGACTGCAGTCAGATTGTGGCTATTACATGAATACAAAGATAGTTAATTGAATGAAACTTTACAAATTATTTTCTCAGCTCTAAAAACTAATGATTTGTCTCAAAGCAGTTACATGTGCTGACCACAAATGCTACACTGAAATGTCTCACCTTGACACTTTGGAATCCATGCATGATTTGAGTCACAAGAATTCAAAGTAAACCAATCAAGCTTGGTTTGGGAATTGAGGTCAACAAAGTCAAAAAAGATCTCCCAGGCTGGGCTTCCAGACTATCCCTTCCCTCCACTTCCCAGATCCAGTGTCTTCAGGAAGGTCTTGGGGTTTGTTGAGGAAGTCGGGAAGTTGAGTAAATAGAGAGAGACTGGCTGTGGGGAGGGGAATCGTCAAGCTCTTCAGTACAAATATCCACAGCCCATGTTCACTGAACATTGTGAGTAAAAGCCAAAGTTCGACTTCAACCCCAGAACTAAGTTTTAGTGGGTCTGGAGCTCAGAATAATTTGCAGAGCTCTTCTCATGTTACAAAGATCTTCAGGGATTCATCCTGTGTTCTGAATTCTAGAGGGGAAATTAATGGGTTAGCCTCATAGGTAACTATGAATAGAAGCTGGTAGCAGGCATTCCAAGCTAGCTAGAGACTGCCTCTGTCCCTATGCAATACTACTGCAGCTGGTATCAGGAGGAGAATTCAGATGGAGCCCCGTTCACTTTAAATTTGAGGAGCTGGCATCAAAGCATTCTCTGGGAAGGGTCTTTGACTCTGAAATTTTCTCACGCCTCCATCCACAAGAGTCGAGGAGCCTGATCCAGCACCCACTGATGTAGCTGGGAGTCTTTCCAAGGACAGTGATGCATGCTGGATCGGACTCCAGATTTATTAACCTTTTGGACATGTTACAAAGCCCAGCCTTTCTCTCTGTTTTTGGTCAGCAGAGTGGGGTAAAGGCTGGTTGGTTGAGGGTGGATGATAATTGACTAGAGTTGTTGTTATCATGGGTTAACTATTGTAGCCAGTATGGTCCTGGTTGGGAAGTTTAGCTGTTTTGCTTTTAGTTTTTATTTAGTTTATAATAGTTGTATTTTAATTATGTACTGCGGCTAGATCTCTAGAGAGAGGCTTGATAAACTGAAGTAAACAAATGTTCCTCCCTCTGCCATACCATACACACACCTGTCTATCCCTAACACATGTGTCTAGTGTTCACACCATGATCGGATACTCTTTCTTTGTGCCGCCCACCCACAAATATCACAGAATGCAGCTACTTCAGCTGGTGATCTTTGCACTGTGCTCAGCAACATCAGGAAGTAATCACAGCTAATTGTTATGGCTGTAATTTCAAACCTGCCAGCTGGCAGCAAATCAGTGTTCATAGTCACATTTGCTAAATGTCTCCTTAATATGTTTCATCAGACACTTATGGCAGAGCTCCTTGAAACCTTGCCTTTTGACTACTTCCATTTCTCCAGCTCTTATTTGGCTGCTGTCAAGCTATCCTCCTCCAGGGCAATTATTTGCACAGTGTAATTTCTTGGCAGCCCACCTGGCAAATGTTGCTTTCACACAGGCTAGACTAGATCTACGTTGGGTTCGGATGACAGGGTAAAGAGTTTAGTAGTATCTAGAGTGAATGAATAAAAATGTTTAGAATAGAAATATAGATGCCATCTGCTTCCATTCAAACTAATGGCAAAACTCCTAATAGCAGCAAAGAGTCCTATGGCACTTTATAGACTAACAGACATCTTGGAATATAAGCTTTTGAGGGTGAATACCCACTTTGTCAGATGCATGTAGTGGAAATTTCCAGAGGCAGGTATAAATGTGCAAGCAAGAATCAGGCTAGGGATAACGAGGTCAGTTCAGTCAGGGAGGATGAGGCCCTCTTCCAGCAGATAAGGTGTGAACACCAAGGGAAGAGAAACTCCTTTTGTCCTTGGCTAGCCATTCACAGTCTTTGTTTAATCCTCAGCTGATGGTGTCAAATTTGCAAATGAACTGAAGCTCAGCAGTTTCTCTTTGAAGTCTGGTCCTGAAGTTTTTTGCTGCAGGATGGCTACCTTTAAATCTGCTATTGTGTGTCCAGGGAGGTTGAAGTGTTCTCCTACAGAACACTTTTGTATATTGCCATTCCTAATATCTGATTTGTGTCCATTTATCCTTTTACGTAGGGACTGTCCAGTTTGGCCAACGTACATAGCAGAGGGGCATTGCTGGCACATGATGGCATATATTACATGGGTACAGATGAATGAACCAGTAATGATGTGGCTGATCTGGTTAGGTCCTGTGATGGTGTCGCTGGTGTAGATATGTGGGCAGAGTTGGCATCGAAGTTTGTTGCAGGGATTGGTTCCTGAGTTAGAGTTACTATGGTGCGGTGTGTAGTTGCTGGTGAGAATATGCTTCAGGTTGGCAGGTTGTCTGTGCGCGAGGACTGGCCTGCCTCCCAAGGCCTGTGAAAGTGAGGGATCGTTTTCCAGGATGGGTTGTAGATCACTGATGATGTGTTGGAGAGGTTTTAGCTGAGGACTGTATGTGATGGCCAGTGGAGTTCTGTTGGTTTCTTTCTTGTGCTTGTCTCGCAGCAGGAGGCTTCTGGGTACACATCTGGCTCTGTAGATCTGTTTCCTTATTTCCTCATGCGGGTTATCGTAGTTTTGAGAATGCTTGGTGAAGATCTTGTAGGTGTCTCTTGTAGAGACCAACACCTACAAGATCTTCACCAAACATTCTCAAAACTACAATACCTGCATGAGGAAATAAGGAAACAGATCAACAGAGCCAGACATGTACCCAGAAGCCTCCTGCTGCGAGACAGGATTGGTGTACTAAGGAAGCCTGATCAAATTTAAGGGACTCTACTATTAATTATTTCTATCATGGTAGCACCTAAATACCTCAACCAGAGATCAGCTCCCAATTGTACTAGGTAGTGTACAAACAAATACTATGAAGACAGTCCCTGACTTGGAGAACTCACAGTGTAGTTACACAGCCTTTCACCACCTGTGAATTTGGTGTCAGGTGCAAGTATTAAAATGTGCTGATAGGATGAAACGTAAACTCTGATTCTAACACAATGCAGAGGTTTTGGGTAAATATGAAATCATCATTTTTTAAATAGCTTTAAAGATATTTTTAACCAACAGTACAGTAAAAGAAAGCCAAATCAAGAGATGAGCTCTTGATATGGAGCTTTTCAGATCCTAAGAGAACTGGGGTTCCAGAATGAAGAGGATAGACCCCCGCCCGCCCCCCGGTTGATTATTCAGTGCCATGGGTAATTCAGCATCTGCACATGTTTGTGATGGGCCAAGCACAGTGCTTCTATGTTTGACTAACCAGGCAGAGCTTCGCTAATAGAACTGAAAGGGGCTAAATGACTTCAAGATAAATAAGACTTTAGAAAAAAATAATGAAGGAATTAAACTGACCTTCTTTAGAAATGGGTGAGAAGGGTAAACAGGGAAGGATCTTGTTTTGCTTTCATCCTGAAAAAATAAAATTTCTTCCTTTCCAGCTCAGCACAGTTGACTGATTTGGAAACAGATCTGTTTTCTCTGGAAAGATTTGTTTGCCCAACAGACTGCCTTCTTTTTTTTTTTTTGTTGGCAAAAAGCAATAGGCTGGAAGAACAAGGATCGTCTTGTTAGCAAGTTTACAGGGCTCAGTAATTAACGGGTACATTTGAAGGCACAGCATGCAGGATACTTACAGTAACCTACTGTATTACGGTGTCATGTGGAAGTGCTTTGAATGGCATGATAACTTCAGAGAATGCAATGTACTTCAATTCTCAGCCAGTGTTAGGTAGCAGGAATATTTAACTATGAAGGAAGCAATAATCTTTGTTGAGGTAAGGACCACTCAAGTGTCCCTTGTGAAAACAACCGTGAATTTGTGAAGTGGTTTTTTTTTGGGGGGGGGGGGGGGAGAGATATAGTTCTTAAAAACAAAGATGCATTAATGTGGTGTGGAGGCAGCAGCCTGCACTTTTTCCACACCAGTCACTAATGATACGTAGTATGTGCCCAGTAACTACAACTCCCCACCCAGTGCTTTGGGGAATCCAATCTCCAAGGGGGATTGAGCCATGAAGTCATCTCTTTTTGGTGTATGGTATGTAATGGTGTTCTGCATGACCAAAGATTTCTTAAGGCAATTGAGCTCTGCTTCCAGTTAACTTCTGTGGTGCCAGACCATCAACATACCTTTTTGGTTTGTTTGTGTTTTTGTTTTTGCTAATGAAGGCAATTATTGACTTAGGGCAAATTTGCTAACCTGGATACCTAACATTAGGCTTCTAAAACCGTATTGTAATTATTTATGTGCAGTTAATGTGATTTTCAGAAGTGCTGAATAGCTACAGCTCCCATTGACAATGATATGATCTGGAGGATGGTGTGGATTGCACCCTCAGCAAGTTTGCAGATGACACTAAACTGGGAGGAGAGGTAGATACGCTGGAGGGTAGGGATAGGATACAGAGGGACCTAGACAAATTAGAGGATTGGGCCAAAAGAAATCTGATGAGGTTCAACAAGGACAAGTGGCAGAGTCCTGCACTTGGGATGGAAGAATTCCTTGCACTGCTGCGGACTAGGGACCGAATGACTAGGCAGCAGCTCTGTAGAAAAGGACCTAGGGATTACAGTGGATGAGAAGCTGGATATGAGTCAACAGTGTGCACTTGTTGCCAAGAAGGCCAATGGCATTTTGGGATGTATAAGTAGGGGCATTGCCAGCAGATCGAGAGACATGATCGTTCCCCTCTATTCGACATTGGTGAGGCCTCATCTGGAGTACTGTGTCCAGTTTTGGGCCCCACACTATAAGAAGGATGTGGAACAATTCGAAAATGTCCAGCGGAGGGCAACAAAAATGATTAGGGGACTGGAACACATGAGTTATGAGGAGAGGCTGAGGGAACTGGGATTGTTTAGTCTGCGGAAGAGAAGAATGAGGGGAGATTTGATAGCTGCTTTCAACTACCTGAAAGGGGGTTCCAAAGTGGATGGATCTAGACTGTTCTCAGTGGTAGCAGATGACAGAACAAGGCGTAATGGTCTCAAGTTGCAGTGGGGGAGGTTTAGGTTGGATATTAGGAAAAACTTTTTCACTAGGAGGGTGGTGAAACACTGGAATGCGTTACCTAGGGAGGTGGTGGAATCTCCTTCCTTAGAAGTTTTTAAGGTCAGGCTTGACAAAGCCCTGGCTGGGATGATTTAGTATGGATTGGTCCTGCTTTGAGCAGGGGGTTGGATTAGATGACCTCCTGAGGTCCCTTCCAACCCTGATATTCTATGATTCTATGATATTTGTAAGTGCTTGCTGCTTCTGAAAAGCAGACTACTTAAAATGGATAAAAATGGATTTAGAACCCAAATTGTATGCAACAACCTACCTGGAACTTGGAGGGAGAGACAAAGGTTGCAAGAGGGAAGAGTTTGGAGAAAACACCAGAAAGTCTGTGGGCATGTAGCTGAATTGTAGCATATTCACCCAAGTATTCTGAAAGAACTCAAATATGAAATTGCAGGACTACTAAGTGCTGTATGTAACAGATTGCTTAAATCACTTTCTGTACCAGATGACTGGAGGATGGCTAATGTGACACCACTTTTTTAGAAAGGCTCTGGAGACGATCCTGGCAATTACAGGCTGGTAAACTTAACTTCAGTGCTAGGCAAATTGGTTGAAACTATAGTAAAGAACAGAATTATCAGACACATAGCTGAACCCAATTTGTTGGGAGAAGAGTCAACACAGCTTTTGTAAAGGGAAATCATGCCTCACCAATCTATTAGAATCCTTTAAAGCGATCCACAAACATCTGGACAATGGAGATCCAGTGGATATAGTATATATGGACTTTCAGAAAGCCTTTGACAAAGTCCCTCAGCAAAAGCTCTTAAGCAAAGTAAGCAGTCATGGGATAAGAGGGAAGGTCCTCTCATGGATCAGTAATTCGTTAAAAAAAAGAAAACAAAAGGTAGAAATGCACAGTCAGTTTTCCGAATGGAGAGAGGTAAATAGTGATGTCCTCCAGGGATCTGTACTGGGACCAGTGCTGTTCAACATATTCATAAATGATCTGAAAAGAGGGGTAAACAGTGAGGTGCCAAAATTTGCAGACAATACAAAATTACCCAAGATAGTTAAGTCCAAAGCAGACTGCAAAGAGTTACAAAGGCATCTCACAAAACTGGGTGACTGGGCAACAAAAATGACAGATGCAATTCAATGTTGATAAATGCAAAGTAATGCACATTGGAAAACATAATTCCAGGTATACATACGGAGGAGGACCGGAATATCATACAAGAAGATCTGCATGACCTTGTAAACTGGAGTAATAGAAATGGGATGAAATTTAATAGTGCAACGTGTAAGGTCATGCATTCAGGGACTAACAACAAGAATTTTTGCTATAAGCTGGGCACTTATCAGTTGGAAGCAACAGAGGAGGAGAAAGACCTGGGAGGAGTGGCTGATCACAGGAAAACTATGAGCTGTCAATGTGATGCGTCCATGAAAAAGGCTAATACAGCCCTAGGATACCTCAGGCGAGGTATTTCCAGTCGAGACAGGGAAGTGTTAGTACCATTATACAAGGCACTGGTGAGACCTCACCTGGAATACTGCGTGCAGTTCTGGTCTCCCATGTTTAAGAAAGATTAATTCAAAGTATAACAGGTGCAGAGAAGGGCTACTAAAATGATCTGAGGAATGGAAAATCTACCTCATGAGAGGGGACGCAAAGAGCTTGACTTGTTTAGCCTAACCAAAAGAAGGCTGAGGAGCAGGGCTGGCTCTAGGCACCAGCAAAACAAGCAGGTGTTTGGGGCAGTACATTTCTAGGGGCGGCGTTCCGGCGCTGGCCATGCCACCCCTAGAAATGTGCCCCCCGCCGCCCCAGATTGCCTCCGTTCCATCTGCTCCCTTGAGCGTGCTGCCGCCGCTCCACTTCTCCCCACTCCCTCCCAGGCTTGCCGCGCGCAAAACAGGTAAATACCAGGGAGGGAGGGGAGTTATTTAAATTAAGCACCAATATGGACTCAAGAACAAATGGCTATAAATGGCCATCAACAAATTTAGGCTTCAAATTAGGTGAAGGTTTCTAACCGTCAGAGGAGTGAAGTTCTGGAACAGCCTTCCAAGTGGAGCAGTGGGGGCAAAAATCCTAACTGGCTTCCAGACTGAACTGGATAAGTTTATGGAGGGGATGGTAGGGTGGCACTGCCTATAATGGGTTTTGCTCATAGCAAAAATCCCCAATGGCTGGAGACAGGGCCGTAGATGGGGAGGGTTATGCGTTACTACAGAGAATTCTTTCTCAGGTGTCTGCCTAATGGTTCTTGAGTACATGCTCAGGATCTAACTGATCACCATATTTGGGGTTGGGAAGGACTTTTCCCCTGGGTAAGATTGGCGAGATCCTGGGGTTTTTTTGCCTTCCTCTGCATCATGGAGCACAGATCACTTACAGTTTAAATGAGTGTAAATGGTGAATTATCTGTAACATGAAGTCTTTAAACCATGATTTGAGGAGTTCAGTAACTCAGCCTGAGGTTAGAGATCTATTACAGGAGTGGGTGGTTGACATTCTGTGGCCTGCAATGTGCAAGTCAGACTAGATGATCACAATGGTCCCTTCTGGCCTTAAAAATCTATGATCTAAATTAACTGTTACCACTCAAGAAAGTGATCTTGGAGTCATTGTGGACTGTTCTCTGAAAACAGCTTTATTCACTGCTGCTGTCCATTGAGCAGATAACAGAATGTTAAAACCATTATGAAAGAGATAGATAAGAGAGAAAATATCATAATGCCACTGTATAAATCCATGGTACACCCACAGCTTGAATACTGAGTGTAGTTCTGGTTACCTTATCTCTTCACATAACGCACAGTCAACCTGTGGAACTCTTTGCCAGAGGATGTTGGAAAGGCCAAAACAATAACAGGGTTCAAAAAGGAATTAGATAAGATCATGGAAGACAGGTCTATCCATGGCTATTAGCCAAAATGGTGATGGATGCAACCCCATACTCACGGTGTCCCTAGCCCCTGATTGCCAGAAGCTGGGAGTGCATGACAGGGGATGGATCACTCAATGATTGCCTGTTCTGTTCATTCCCTCTGAAGCACCTGGCGTGGCCACTTTTGGAAGACAGAATACTGGGCTAGATGGACCACTGGTCTGACCCAGTATGGCCATTCTTATTTTAATCTCTATGTTATATATTTGTATTACTCCCCTCTGTGCTAGGTGCTGTACAAATGTAGAACAAAAAGCAAATAGTTCTCTTAAAAAAGAGCCAGTTTTGTTTTAGAAATATGAAGTCCACATGTTATTACACACCATCCGGTACTAGAAACATTTGTGTTTGAAAATGTGGGCCTCAATACCCAGTAAGCCTTCTATAATTCTTAATAAAAACTATATAGGAGTGAATGGAGTATCTTCAAGCACACTGACTTTTTTTAAAACTATATCTATTATTTATTTTGCAAACTGCAACTTCAATACCTCAGGTGAGAGCCAATGACTGAAATCTACAAGTAATTTCAGTTTCTTATTCAGGAC